ACCCTAAAAAAACTAATGCCAAAATACCAAAATACCCTTGAATTTGCCTCAATTAACACTTCTATACCAAATTAAAAGAAAAATACCAGGCCATTCTTGCCCTAGCTTGCGCAGCACCACAACGCCATTGTTGAGAAGTTTACTGCTTCGGCTTCTCCGTCAGCCGTCAAGGTGAGCTTCACAGTCAAGATCTTAACCTATTCCATTTCCATTTTCGTTAAATTATGTCCGTTCGTCGGACGATTCGTGGTCCAAATATTCAAATCGAGCTTTTTGCCCTAATTTCTGCAGGAACGACGACGCCATTTCTTGAAGCTGTAAGATTTCGATTCTCCATCGGGACTAAAGGTGAGCTCGAAAAAACCTTTTTCATTTCAATTTTGCCCTAATTTTGTTGTCTCAATATTGATGGACTTCTGACTCGAGATTTGTTCAAAATCTTTTTTTTGGTTCAAAATTTTTGTTTATCTGAAGACATCTCATCTCCAGCCGCCAATATCTCTTCGGTCTTCTCCGTGCCAGTTGAAGGTAAAGAGCTTCTTAGTTAGCATTTTGTTGTTGTTTTGCCTCATTTTCGATATAATGTTCCAGAGTCTGATAATTTAGTTTAGATTCTGAAAAATATGAGTTAAACGGCTTCAAATTCAGAGTACAATGGTGATAACCATTTGTAAGTGTGTTTTGTGGTTTGTTATGCTTTCTTTTATTTTCTGTTACACTTAATGCTATGTTTTTCTGCCGCATTCTGTTCTTTGATGTTGAGAATGTGGTGAAAATTTAGATTTATGGAGCCTAAATTACTTGTGAACATGGTGAGTGTGGTTAAAATTCAAGGTAAAACAAATGGGAATGTTGTGTGGGTGCGGTTTCATTTTGTTGTGAACATGCTGAAGCTTGTTTAGTGTGGTAAGGTGCTGCTTAATTTTCAGAGTTATTTGGGTGTAAGTTTCAGTTTAGAAACATGCTTTAACAGTGTTGAAGAGCAATGTGTAGCATGTTTTTTACAGTGGTTCAGATTTAGTTCAGAAACTTTTTCATGGTGTTTTTCTATGTTGAAAATGTGTTAAGTTTCAACCATCAAGGTGAATGTTGCATGCTTGTATATTAAGACTTATGTGTCTTTAGTCCATTGTGTGTGTTTTTGCCCTTTTTCTTTTCTGCTTATCTACCTTGTTTGTCTATTATTTTTTAGTCACAATTTTATATGTCATTTGGGTGTTGAATGAGGTATTAAAACTCAGACATAAGTTTTATGTGCATGTTTGCTAAGAGTTATTAATTATTTTTAAAACCAAATATGAAGAACATTTTGAGGTGTTGTGTTTTGGCAGCTCCTGATATCTGTTTGGCTGGGATTATGTAAATGGACCTGATAAAGCCTTTTCATGTAATAAACTTACTTTCAAAATCAGATATATAGCTGAAACCAAAGATCTTATCTTCAGTATGTATCTTAGAATTATGCACCTGAATATGTATCTTAGATTTATGTGGCATTGAATATGTGTATTTAGTTGTCCAAAACAGATATGACTTTAGTTGTCCAAAACTGAGCTGTCTAAAATTCTTGTTGGTATAAGATACATGGTACCTGAATCTATTAATTGCTTTATTT